GCCGAAGCAGAGTCAGCCAGAGCAGGCTGCAGAGGACGTTGTCCAGGCGGGTCTTGAATATCTCCAGAGAAGGAGACTCCACAACCTCCCTGGGCAGCCTGTTCCACTGCTCCATCACCCTCAGAATGAAGAAATTCTTCCTCATGCTCAGCTGGAACTTCCTCTGCTTCAGTTTGTGCCCATTGCTCCTTGTCCTGTCGCTGGGCACCACTGAAACTCCAAAATGCGATCTAAGCAATTGCTGGTGACGCGGCAGTGACTCGGAGCATCCCAGTCCTGTGCTCGGCCATGCCTGGAGACAGTTCTTCCCCATTCAGCCCTGGCGCTCCGGGCTTAAGATTACACCTGATTTGAAGCATCCCCTGACTAAATAAAAGAAGCCATAAGCTGATCTTTTCGTGCAATGTGCAAGCGCACAGTAGTAATCACAGCTAATGACTCTGCTCCATGCTAGGCTGCGCACACCTCCTTGTTCGGCGTTTGTTTTGTGTACAGAAGGTAACATCGGCTGAATAACGAGGATGCCAAGTTACAGATGGGGTTGTGGAATCGTATTTGACAGCCGATTAGAGTAATCTGACAGAAATGATGACTTAATCACCACGACAGACTCCAAATTCCCAGAAAGAATTCCACCCAGGTTAATCTAATTTCCTTGCAATATTTTTGCCAGAAATAGACTCTTAGCAGGCTTGTTTTCTCCCATGCAGATGTCACATGGCTTTGACAAGAATGTAAATAGGTAGCGTTACTGTTGTCGGAAAGATGGCTTTGAGGCTCTAAAGCTGCAGAGGATGTGTGCCTTTGAGAGGTTTTTGGGTTGCTCTGCTGTGTTTTTTTCTCTAATGAAGTTATAGTTGCATACAGTGGGATGTACTACGGAAGAAGATGGGGGAAAAAAAAGATGTAACTAGTCAATTGTAGTTCTGGGCCATGGCTTGGTTCTGCTGCTGCCCTCGCCACAGCCAGCGGCCAGATATCAATTAATGTCAAGGCGATTGTCAGGATTGCATGTTTGACAACTGTTTCTTCCCCTTCTTGGTGCTCGTGGCCCACGCTAGCCCCCTTGCTTGGGATGCGCCCGAGGAGGAGCGGTGACGTGCCTGGCCTCGGGCTGTGCGTGGCCTCCATGGCAGCGCAGGCAGCGGACGGAGCCCCGGCTT